AATAAACAAGCAAATAAATAAATAAATGACAATAGTAATATAAAATATAGAAATACATGGAATATAGGTAAACCAATCCCCAGAATCAAATTTATGTCCCTAAATGCTTATATTGACAAAAGAAAGAATTAATCAGCTGAATATGTGGTTAAAAACTAGGGAATCAACAAATCAACAAACACCAAGCTGCATGAAAGAGGAAATTAGTAAGATTAAAGGTGAAAAAATAGAATTAACAATAAAACAGTCAAAGTAATAAAATATTTTTTAAAAGACCAAAACAATTGATAGATTGTTAGCTAATTTGTGTTCATAATGTCTTAATTCCTACATCAACCCATTTCACAAGAATGTAAGCTCCTTGAGGGCAGGGACTAGGTTTTGTTTTTTTTTATTCCCAGCATCTAGCACTGTGCTTGACACATACACAGCAGGTACTTAATAAAGTTCTAGTTGGTAGTATGCATATGCTGTCGTATGCATAATAATTATATGCATATGACAATATGCATAATTACTATAATTATATGCATATGACAATATACATAATTACTATACCAATATATATGGAAACACAACAACAAAAACAACAACAAAAAACTTTCAAGTGAATACTGTATAATTATAATTACCAAGCTTGGTCCTGAAGCAGAGATGAGGAAATACAACTCCTGCTCCCCTTTGCAAAGGTAGGGGGCTTTTAGGCATGGAACACTGCATGTGTTGTCATACTCAGATGATGTGCTGATTAGTTTTAATTAACTGCTTCCCCCCCCTCCCCTTTTTCCTTTTAAAGTCTCAGTTACAAGTAATGATTCATGGGGTAGGAAAAAATAGAGGATACATCTGGAAAATGAAACTGATGTAAACATAAAAGCTATCCATAAAAATTTAAATTAAAGAAATGCTGAATGAATGAAGTTATAAAGAAGTAAATTTAACTCAGTATAAAGAAGGTTTTTCTAACAATTAAAGCTGTACAACAATGGAACTGACTGTCTTGTGAAGCAGTGAGCTCGCTGTCGCTTCAGCTGTTTAAGCAGAAACTGGATGTCTACCTGTAAGTGATGCTGAGGAGGGAATTCTCACATGGGGGCGGCAGGTTAAACTAAATGATCTCTAGCTCATATCCAGCTCTAGAAATATATGAACACCGATATAATCCAAGAAGGAAAAGGTAATAAAATTTAAGAGATAATTTTTAAAGAAAATTTTTGTGTGACTGAGTCTCTCTATTTTACCCAGGCTGGAAGTTCAGGTGCTATTCAGGGGCCCAATCCCATTACTTATTGATTGGCAAGGGAACTTTGACCTCCTCTATTTGCAGCCTGGGCCTGTTTGCCCCTCCTTAGGCAACCTGTGGCCTCCTCAGTCCTGGCAGCTCACCCATATTGATGTTGAACTTAGGATGGATACCTAATCAGTTTAGCCCACTGCCATTCAAAACTCCAAAATTCAAGAGATCCATCAGCCTCAACCTTCTTGGTGTCTGAGATTACAGGCATGCACTACAATACCCAGCTAAAAAACATAATACTAAGGTACAAACAATATAAACAAGATATATCAAAGGCACCCAGATTAATGTATAATATTTAGACTATAAAAGGGGAAGGGAGCCACATTCTATCATGGTAGTAATGTATAGGATAAGCTCCCAGAAGGGGTAGAGAAATCAAGCCTTATTAAACCTTTGTAGCAGTCTACCCAAATGGTGCCTAACATGTCTTGTCCATAATATGTATTTTTACAAATACTTGTTGAATCAATGTATATAGCTACAGAAACATAGAAGCTTGATCAAGAATGAAGGGAGGACGGGGCAAGCTTCAAACAAGGAATCAATCAGAAGGACATGCTTTCTGTAGCTTTCATTCACCAAAATAGTGTTTTCATGAAAATTATTTGTTCCTGATTGTCGAATATGGATGTTGAAGGACTCTAGGAGAGAAAAACTGGGTTAGACTAGGAGAAGGTAGAACTATAGAACCATGGAATGCTAGTGATATTAGTTCATTCTCCACATTTAGCAGAGAAGGGAAATGAGACCCAGAAGGTGTTTTCTGAGAATTATTTGAAATTGACATCTAAGAAATGGAACACTAGATGACAGCATACCTATAAAATTCAGGTCCTATACTCAGCTATGTGGTGATTTACTTTGCTATTATAGCACTTTCCTTCTAGTTATCATAGTTTGTGAAATTTCCACCTCCTAGAAGAGCTGAGGATGAAAAAGATACTGATTTGCCAGTCTGTGAATCAGAAGTGTCAAATTCACAGGGCAGATGCATCTGAGTGCAGCCCAAAGCAGATTAAAATATAATTGGCAGATATTTAACAAAATAAATAAAAGTATGATAAACCATACATAATATCATATTTTAAAAGTAAGCAAATACTCAGCCTGTGCAGAGATCCTTATGTATGATTTAGTAGCCCCCATTTCTATTTGTGTTTGACACCACTAATAGAAACCACTTCTCGCTATTTCCCACTTTTCAATATATGTTCCTGATCATTATAGCATCCTACTCCATATCAAGAGACAAGGCAGGAGGAAATCACCAGACAAGAAGGGACATCAGAGGTTATTTAGTTAAATGCACTCCTGAATTAAAAAGCAAAACTACATCATCTTTGAAATTCATTCTAGTCGAAGATTTGATGTGGGAGGCAACTGAAAATAGTGGTTAAAAAGAATTTTAGGGTGGTTGTGTTTTACAGTGAGCTCTGTCCTTTTGGAAAAACAAACAACATATGGTATTCAAGTCAAAAGACCTGGGTTTGAGGGATAGTTCAAACAATAAACAATCAGAGTGTCTACTATGTGCTAGGCACAGTGCTAAGGGCTGATGATACAAAAAGCGCAAAAGACAGTCCCTGCCCTCAAGGAACTTAGAATCTAATGGTTCTATGTGACCCTAGGTAAGTTACTCAGCCTCTCTGAGGTTGTTTTCTCATCTTCAAAATGGGGATAATTGTAATGGATTTTATAATGATTTAAAATATTTAAAGCACTTTACATTGTGCTTTATTTCATAGCCACCCAATGAAGTAGGTAGTATTGAGGGCACCCCCATTTTACATACAGGGAAACAGCCTTGGAAATGTCATAGCATGATAGGATTTCAGATCTGGAGCTGGAAGAGGCCACAAGTCCAACTCCCTCATTGTACTTGTGAAGAAACCAACATCTTATTAGGGTTCTTCCCAGCTTGCCTAGATTCCAAAAAAGACTTCTTTCCATTTCCTTGTCCAAGACAATTCTCATTCTTGCAATGTTTCAGGAAAGATAGTCTTTCTGAATTTTTTTCCACACTGATCATTTCTACTAGGCATCTGGCACAAAAATTAAACAACCTATTACTGATCTAGAGGAAGTGAATTAGTAGAGGGAAGAAGTCAGAGTCACAAGAAGAAATAACAGAGTGAGAAGAAGATCATTGATATCCCCAAGGTGAAATACATGCCTCCAAATAGGGAAAGGAGGCTGGAGATGCAGGCGATGTGGGAGAAGGAAATAAAGTTAATGATTTGGAGTTGGAGATTTTTGGAGATTTCTCTGGGGATGAAGTGGTCCAAGTGAAGCAAGTTTACAAGATAGGTTTTTATTATTATTTTTAAAACTGTATACCTTCCTTCTTGTGCCCTTTGAGCCTAGACCCACTTTCAAAGGCCTCAAACTTGGGAGTGGGAAAAGCCACCAAATCCAAGCAAGACGTTCAGTTATCCTCACTCTGGTCATTCGAGGCTTGATGACCAAGCTTCCTGGACAGATTGGGAACAGACAGAAGGGACTCTCATGTGAGGAAAGACAAGCTCCCTTGTTCACCACTCCTGATTACCATCCCATCAATAGGGTAAACTAACAGGAACATTGGGGCATTTCTTCTTCAGGGCAGTGGAGACTGAGGAAGTTGGGGGCTTAAAGGTTTGTCCACTAGCAGACAGTGGGACTCTCCCACACAGGAAAAAGGCTGCTTCCTCCCTTCCCAACCTCATCCCTCTTCTCATCTCTTCTCCCCTCCCCCAGGGCCGTAGCTTATCCAGCAGGGGCCAAGTGGGGCTGGGCCGGGACGGGCCGCTCCGAGATGACGTAATGCTTTCTCTGGTACACAAAGCGGCCTCCCTCGGGCTCTGGCCTCTCCCGCCCCTCCTCCTCCAGCTTCGGCTCTGGCCCCGCTGGCGCTGGTTCGAATCCCCCTCCCGCCGCTCTCCAAGAGCCAGCCTGGGAGACCCAGGGAACAAAGACCCGGGGAAGTAGAGTCGAGGCGCAGCTAGGAGGCCCAGAAATAGACATCACGTCATTCTCGCAGCCCGGCATTGCCAAACGCCATTAGGTAGCTTTGGACAGACCCCACCATTACTATGCAGAATGAAGCCGCTGGGAAAGCAGCCCAGCCCCTTAGTCCAAGAGGTCCAGCACAGCCGCCCGGAGCTTCTCCTCTCCTGCACCCCCTCCCCCAACCTCACTCCCGGGAGGCCGCCTCCCCTGGCTGCCAGCCACTCAGCCCACAATCCCCAAGCTGCCATCTTAATACCCCATCCCCAGTGCCACCTCCCTCCCCTGCAGCCTTATGATGTAGGGAAGGGAAGGGACACCGCCCTTCGTGCCTTAAGGAGGAGGGTTTGGCTTCCCCATACCTGCACCCCAAAAGGAGGGGTTCAATTACGCTGTGCACCTCTTCCTTCTCACCTCTCTCAGTGCTGACAGTGACCCAGGAAAGGTTTTCAAACCTTTCTCCCACCCCACCCCCACTACTTAGCTCTGGTCTGGTGCCAGTCCTGGCCTTGCCCACTCCTGAGGTCCACATCTCCAAGGTCCAGGTTCTGTCCATTGCTGGCTGCCCAGCATTCCTGGCCTAGGTTTTTCTGGGTCGGACACTGCCAGGGCCCTGCTCTTGGTCAAACTCATTTCTCTGCAGTTAGGATCTAGTATCTCTGCTACGGTTCCAACCACCCCCTGCTTCATTTCCCCAAACCTGAATCCCACTCACCAAAGCTGGGTCGAATATTGGTGATCTCGGCCATGGCGTAATCAGCAGCACTTGCTGTAAATGGGTTCCCAGCTTCCTGAGAACTCCTGCACCCCTCTGTTAGTGCCAAGGCCGCAGCTGCAAGATGCCGATATGGGCAACAGGGAAGGACTTCTCCTGCGATGGCTTGGCCTCACTGTGCCAGCTGCGGGTCCACCTAAGATGCTCTAGGGATGCTCTGAGCTAAAGATGCAGGTGCAGCCAGACTGGTCCTGATGCGAGGTAAGCTCCGCCCTTTTCCGAACAGTCCCAGGCAGAAGGCTCCGCCCTCCCTCCCGAACAGTCTCAGACCAGAGGTCCCTCTACTTTCCGAAACATACCGAAGAAGAGACCACGCCTAGTTTCGAAGCTCCTGGGTTAAAGGCCCCGCCTTTTTACGAGTATTCTGGGAAAAGTGCAAAAATCTGGAGGCCAGAAGGAGGAGACTGGCAATTTAAATCTTTCTTTCCTTGATTATCATAGGAAATCCTATTGCTCGGATGACGAGGTCTTAAAATAGTAGCAGAATGTTCTGGGTGACAAGGAACACAGAGAAGTGGAAAAACAAATTCAGACTGTTTGAATTCCATTATTGATTAGATCATTGCTGTTACGGTGCATTTCTGTGTGACCACAGAGTGTTATTATGGAACCCTTCCTAAACTGTAGATGTTAGTGATTAAAGGACCAAACCACCAAAGCTGCGCATTAAAAAAATCACGTCCTTATGATTTAGAATATCCTCTCTCCAATTATCCTTCTAGGGATCACATTATTATATAGGTTTACAAAATAAAAACAAAAACCACTCCCAAACAGAACCACCTCCCTCGAAAATAATTCTTTACACCAACTCAGCATCACTTTAGCTACGGAAATTTGGCCTTTAAGATCCTGCTTTAAAAACTATATGAAATTTACCAAGATTTTAAGTAAATGGTAGTATAAGATATTTGGACGGTGTATTATAATTTCTTCATATACATGTGGGACTCAGTATGGAGCTAGGTCCTTCTAGGAGCTCATAATGCATAAATACATCAATATTTGATGTATTTTTGATTTAATACAGTCCCTAAATCTTTTTCCAAGGTCCCACTGACTTTGCTTCAGGAAAGGTACTGACTGTATTTGGAAACCATTTAAGTTAACACTTTACTTCTCAGTTCTCCAGATCCCAAATCCTGCATGCCATATGCTTCATAGTGAGCAAACGGCCCTCCTCGTGCCCCTCAAAATACTTGCTCTCAGTTGAAGGTGGGAGATAGGGAAGAACTGAGGCTCCGAGGGATGGTCCCTTTAACTTTTTCGTCAATGACAAACTTGTCATCTCTGGCTTCATTTTGCCCTGACTCAAGATGTCGGCCGACACGGGCGCATGCTCAGTTTCACTCCAGCCTCCTGGCACGCGGTTCGGGGACGCGCCCGTCCGTCCCTGACGCCGAGTGATTTCCGGTGGTGGCCTGAGCTGAGTTTCCGCGGGCTCAGGCCGGCCGGTGAGGGTGCCTGGGTCGCGCGGTCCGGGCGGGAAAGAGTCAGGCGGGAGCGAGGGAAAGGGACTTCCGGGGGTGGAAGTCAGGGAATATAGATCACAGAAAGAGAGACGGAGTGAAGGAGCTAAGAACAGACGCACCAGATAGGAGGATGTGTGGGGGACGGTGTGGGGGACGGTGGGAGGCGGGAGTTCGGGGTCAGGGGTCACCTGGTGGACTTTGGGGGTCAGCCTTCGCCTGAGGGAGCTTGTGAGAAGCTGAGGCCCGGAGGCGTGAGGAGGCTTCCTTACCTGGGAAGGTGCTGAAGGGCGAAAGCCAGCCTGAAGCCACTTTCCAGGAACAGGGACCCTAAGGCCTTGCTCCAGCGGGCAGTGCAGTCGCTCCCTCTGTTTGCTTTTGTGAGGCCACAGTACCCGAGGGACCAGGTGACTTCTTTGGGAGTCGACTCCCCGTGTGTGCTATTGAGGTGCTGGGAGCTTGGCACCTGGGTCCCAGTCCAAGTTCCTTCGACAGACTAACTTTGGGCAAGTAACTACGTTACGTTGCTTTTGTGGTGCTGTAAAATACTAGACTAGGATATTTTCATCCCAATTTCCACCATCATATTGCTGAAAGTGTAAGTGTTTATGGAGTCCGTGAGATGTTACCTACTTGGTGCAATAGAAAGATAACTAGATTAGAGTAGGGGGAACCCAGGTTTGGATCCCAGTACTGATGCTTTGGGCAAGTCATTTAACTGTGTAACTTCGGACTAGTCACTCAATCTCTTTAGGGCTCAGTGTCCTCATCTGTAAAAAGGTGTTGGGGGGAATAATCGTGTGTGATGTGTAAGGGTGTGGGTGGGTGGGTGGAGGTGGGTGGAGGAGGAGGAGGAGGAGTCCTGACCCATGATTTCGTCAGTTCAGCAAACTCCCTCTGAGGAAACTTTCTACCTGTGCAGACTGAAAACTGTTCTGGAACTTACAGTCTGGAAAATTTTCGGGGGGGCATTGAAAGGTTAACTGACTTGCCAAGGTAACACATCCAGTATATGTCAAACTTGAATCTAGGGCTTCCTGACATAGAGAATAGTTCTCTTTCCCCTCTTCATTATTTGTGCTGTTCTGTTTCTCATATGACATTACAATTTAGAATCTAAGAGCTAGCAGACAGGACTTGTGAGGTTATTATCTTGTCAAACCATCCCTGTGTGTAGGAGTCTTACAAATACCTGACCAGATGGTCATTTAAGATTCTGCTTGATCACTATGCAGCAGAGTGAGCTCAGTGTCTCACAAGGCAGCTCATTACATTTTTAAAAAGCTTTAATTGTTATAAAGTTCTTATATTGAACTGGTTTCTTTCCTGTAACTTCCCTCATTTGGTCCTAGTTCTGGCCTTTGAGTATACATAAAGTATAATTAATCTTTCTCATAATAGCCATTACTTGAAGACAGCTGTTCTGTTCCCCTTCAGTCCTTTTCCTAGGCTAAATAGTGTATATTCTCTTAACCAGTCCTTATAACATACTTTGCTTCAGCATCATGGTTGCTCTCTTCTGATCATTTTCCAACTTGTTAATTCCCCTGTCTGACCAGTGTAGTGTGGCGGGACTGCTACTCTACCTTGTCTTATACTCTATACTTTTCTTAATGCAGCCTAAGTTTGTGTTAGCTTTTAAAATAGCCAATTTGTTGAAGGGCATCTTGAGTTTGCATTCATCTGAATCCCTAGGTCTTTTTCATATGAACTTCTAAATCATATTTTTTCCCATTTTAAAATTTATGTAGTAGTTTTTTTAGCATACATGTAAAGTTCAGGACTTTATATTTTTTCCTGTCGTTATGGAAGAAATCTACATCTGAAAAATGCTTCTTCCATCTTTAAAGGCCTCTAGATTTGTTAATCTAGACACAAAAATGCTTTAAAAACATTACGTGAAAGCAAATTAATATGGTGCAGAACTGTGTGCATATCAGTACATATATAGTGCTGGGATTAATTGAGTAGGTGGGTTCTGCTTGTAGTTGAGGGGAAGAGAACACTGACAGGTGCTTTTGTTCAAGGGAATTAGTTCATTTAATGGGGATGCACGTGTATCAGGAATATAATAGCACTGTATTTCTTTGAGGTGTTATGATTATCACTAATTAGCATGGGAATGTTGAGTACTTGTTGTTGTCTTTTCAGGATGGAGCAGAACTGGGATTCTGCTTACCTTTAAAATGCTTCCTTGTAAGAAGAGAAGAACTACTTTGATATCATCCCCTCATCATAAAGACAGCCAGGAGGAGATCCATTTAGACCTAGAATCAGCTACTGCCCCAGAACCTGACCAAATTACAGACTTGGGCACAGTGTCCTTACCCTGGGGGCTGAGCCATGTCAGAACACCAGGCTTGGATGTGCAACCTATGCAGGATGCTGGTGACCATACTTGTAAGGAGGATCCATCTGCCTCCAGGTTGCTTGTTCAGGACACAGATGTAGCAATCCTAGAAGCTATTGATGTTCCCAACACTCAGGAAATCAACCTTTCTTCCCTGGAGTCCTCTCAGCCTTGTAATATCCCTATTGCTAAAGGAAAAATCCAGGGAACTTGCATGAGGAGAGGGAAGAGAATTGCACTCAGGCCAGGGCCAGCTCCTCGGGACGATCATCCATACTTGAAGGAAACTTCATCCTCTGCAGAGGCGTGTGAGAAGATTAACAGTGAAAGTGGTAAGATATGAATCCTGAGTATAGTCACTAGGTTTCCATTTTTTAACACTGTCAGAAAAATTTTTCTTATGTCTGACCTGAAACCTAACTGCTGCAGTTTAAGCCACTGTCTCTTGTTCTGTCTTCAGAGGAGTTAGCTTACAGGTACTCAGTAAGTTTCTTTGCTCTGTAGTTACCAAAATTTTCGCTACTGCACTGCCGCAGTTTTCTTTAGGTGGTCTACAATCCTAGTACCTAACTAAGGAGGTATACCCTGAATTTATGAAGCATGGTGACAGGGATAGAATCTCTTTTACAGGAAGAAATTCATTTGTTGCTTTGTTGGGTTATTTGAATTAGTATGTTGGCTCTGTGGAATTTGTGTTCCATCACCTCCAAAGTTAGTCAGAATTGCAATTAAAATTTCAGAATTAGAAAGGATTTTAGCTCATTTTGTCAAATTGTTATTTTACAGATGAGGAAACTTATCACATGTTCAATTGAGTGCTGTAGTTCTGGTGATTGACCATAATGTACCTTCAACTGGTATATTTCTATTTCCAGAGAGTTTTTTTGGTAGAGTGAAAAAGTTGCAATCAGTGATTAGATTGTGACCAACGGTTTTAGAACACAAATTAAATTTCCTTGGCTTCATGCTAGTTTTCTAGTCATTATGAATTATATACTTGTATTTTTTTTATCATAAAGTATTTAAATAAAGTACAGCTCCCTGCATATAGTAGGCACTCAATTATTTCTTAGTCTTAAAAATTCTTATTTTGGTATTTGTGTTCCATTTATTGGGACAATTTCTTTGTTCCACTTTGAAAAAATAATAGAATCAAAGAATATTAAGAGTTGAAAGCTGTCTTAGAGGTCATCTAGTCCAGCCTCATTCTAGGTCCAAGAATCCCTTCTACAACATCTCTAACAAGTGATCATTTATCCTCTAGTTGAACATGTCCAATGATGGGAAACTCATTAGTCATTAGACATCCCACTTTATTGTTAGTTTAAATTGTTATCTGGCTCTTTTTTATGTTGAACTGATATTTACCTATCAGTATTCTATCCATTGGTTCCAGTTCTGTTTTCTGGAACTAAACAGAATAAATCTAATTCCTTTTTCGCATGATAACCCTTCAAATATTCGAGCCTTGTTCAGTCCTCTAAGTCTTCTTCAGGCTATAAACATCACATTTTTGGGGGCATCTGGGTGGTGCAGTGGGTAGAGGGCTGGATTTGAGAGTCAGGAATACCTGAAATCAAATGTGGCTTC